GAACAAGAGATCTTAAAGAACGATTAATTAATGTTAAAATCTTTTTCTTTCACAGATAGACAATGTGAAGTTAAACCGTGCATCCCACAGCCAACATGCCCAGGAAGTATGTGTATTTCACCTTTAACCTCTCACATAGATTTGCATCCTCTCATGATGAGTTCACAAACTGACAGATTACACACGAGGTCGATCGTGTGCTGCACCCGTTAAATACTTCAAACCATGTCCTGCTGCGTCTTATCTAACGAACAACAACAGTTAACTGAAGTCTTTGATCTCTTTAAAGGTGGATCATGTTGGAAATGTGAAGACGGCTGGGAGCAGCATGGAGAGAAGTGTTATTCTTCTCCATCACTAAATCAACATGGAGTGAGAGCAGAGATGAATGCAGACAACACGGAGGAGGAGACCTGGTGAAGATAGACAGCACAGAGGAGCAGGTAAACACACTGCTGCAGGATCATGGAGCTCACTGGACCAGTTCTCTTTGTTTTATCACTTTCTAAAGAGTCTCTCATAATCTTTGTTTGTTGTATTTATTTTATTCCTCAGACATTCCTGGACATGAGACTGAGAGACATAATGGTGAAGGATGAGGACAAATTCTGGATCGGACTGACCGACTCAAAGGAAGAGGACACTTGGTTGTGGGCAGACGGATCTCCACTGAAGTCAAGGTTTGACTGATTTTAGGGTCAAACGTACATTGTTCTGTCTCAACCCTTTACCAAAATATTTCACTTGAAAAAAAACTTGAAGTGACCATTTTTTTTTATACTTCTACAAAAAACAACAAGTTATTTGTACAGCTACCCCTTCCTGAGCTATTCATTTGTCAATATTTGTTATTTAACCAGTTTTATAGATCCCAAGCACCAAATCAGTACCTGTCCCCACAGTCATGTAAAGAGGACAGGGGCAGTATTATGTACAATTATGTTTACATGACTAGTAGATGTTAATGACATAAAACAACAACATTTCAAGTAGATATTATAAAATATATAATGAAATTACTGGTCCCTTGGAGTCATGTCACTGTGTTTTAAAAAGTCCTTTATTTGGATATTAAATTAAAGTGATGACATCACCCTGTACCTCTTTCCTTCAGATCTATGAAGAAATGCCCAGGGTTAAGTCCTCTGTCGCTTTAATTTTCTCAATTTTCTCATGATTTCACATGAAGCTTTTAGATGACGTCACTGGTGTGACCTCCTTTTTGGTCTGGGAATTGTCCAAAATAAGATTACAAATGGATTAAATATCATTATTTTATGAGTAGCATAGGCTATATAATATTTGAGAAGATTTGGTTTGGTGCACTTAGCAGCCATCTTGTAAAATGCATTTTTCTTGTCACTGGTGTTACTTAGGCTATGTGTAGCACCTGCAGTGACAATCAGTAAATAATGAACTTTTGGTCAGTGGTTTCACTAAAATGTTAATTTTCATCCTTGATTTTTATGCTAATTGCAAATTTTTGAATTGAAAATGTTGAAGAATGAAGAACTTTGGACTTATCAAAAAACAAATTACACATAACATATTTCCTGTTAATTAAGCGACATCACACCAGAGGGAGTGATGTGAATCGGTCGTAGGCACACGATAATCACAGCAGTGTTGAGATTCAGAACAACATCTCGACCTCGAGTGTGATGTTACTTTTATAAAACGGTTATAGAAGCTGAAAGAAGAAGTTAAAAATTAAAATCACCAACAGATTTTGTTGTAACTCCACCAACTCAACTTGTTCCACAATTTAACTGAAACTAGACTGTTGCCAAGCAACCCAAACATTCTACTGCCCTCTGTTTGTGTCCATGGTAACCACAGAGAAGCTACTTATTGGCATGATTATTTACTTTCAGGTTAAAAGAAATGAATGTTTTTATCATATAACCAGAGAAATAAGAGTGTGTTGTGTGATTCTGAGGTTTGAGATGATAAATAAAAACTTTGTCAGCTGTTAATTATTCTCTGTCTTGCTGCTGCAACGCCCGAATTTCCCCACTGGGGATCAATAAAGTAGGCCTATAATCTAATGTAAATAAAAGTATTCAGAACTCCTGGCTGAGGCGGAGTGATACATGTTGTGAAAAGTCACCACCAATCAGATTTCTTTATCTGCACCAACTAACCAAGAGTTATCAGTTGTAACTACTTTTTTATGTTCTTTATTTCATAGTTTGGTTTTCTGGAAAGGCAACGAGCCGGACAACTGGGACGGAGAAAGCGATGATGGGGAGGACTGTGTGAGGATGGGGGAGAAAACAGGAGCTGTAAAACACAAGAGCTGGTTCGATAAATATTGTGAAATCCCTCATAAATATATTTGTGAGAAACAAGAAAATGAAGTGCACCTGAAGTACTTCAGCTGAAGTCTCACTCAGCTTGTAGAACAATCTAAGTCAAGGATAAGTGAATGTGGAGAAATTTTGTTAATTTTTTATACAGCTAATTTAACCAGCAGTTTAAAAAATATAATCAGTGTCGTAGGCTATATATAAAGTAAAGAGTGGGGAATGACATGAGGGCAAGGAGACACAGGTTGGACTGGAACCCGGGCCGCCCGCTTGGAGGACTATAATCCACATTTTAAGCCCTTTTGCAATGGACGGCAGCTAAGTTTGGTTAATGGAGAAGTCTGGAAGGAGGGTGAAACGTCGTCACAATCCGCCAGAGCTCAAAGTGACAACATGACACAAACGTTTCAGTCCAAACCACAAAGTTCAAATAGTTGTATGAATTTAAAGCGACTGTGGTTCAGTGGGGGAGTCAGTCGTCCCTCAACCAGAAGGTCGGGGGTTCCACTTAACATAGTTTCTCAAGTTTTAACTTTGTGCTTAAAGTCCCTCTGAGTGTATAGATAGCAAATTAATAAATAACTTTCAAGAACAGACTGATCGTTTGATTAGCGCTTCCTGTTTTCAATCAGCCCTCCTGAAAAGCAAACCGCAAAAACTTGCACAACACAGTGACACAGCATGAAGCTATAAAAAGAAACCTTACAGATAAGTCCCTCAGGTTTGATATTATCTAGAAATGTTCAGTCTGGTAGATTGAAACGTGCAGTATGTAGGGTGAATTCGCTTAATGTGGGACAATTTTTGCATTTAAGACTTCTGGGATGTATTGCAACATGAAGCTATATATTAAATCCACACCCAGTACCACTCTGAAATTCCCAGGATGTCCCCTAATTAAACCCAAAGAGAAAATCCAGTTATCACACTCATTAAAGAAATAGTAGACATATCAGTAGTCTTAGTGCCAAATTGTCTCAGACAATCTGCATTTCCTCATGTGGGACAGTGCTGTTCTAAATGTGGGACACTGAAAAGGCCTAAATCACCTTAATTCTAGTCTGTCACACTCAAGTCTAAAATGTGCAATCCAGTGTTCTGTAATTTTACCACTTACAATGTTACTGGTGTTACAAAACACTAAAAAAGGACATTAATAATTTTGATGTATTTAGTAGAAAGACAATAGGCTATTATATCACCATATCTGACATACAGAGAAAGCAGAATGTAATGAACATTTTATGCATTCATTTATTTAAAGAATTGCAATGTAACTATGTTAAAATGTTAAAATATTTTCTATTCCATACATCTGTCCTGAATAAAATAAGTGCTTAGCCAACTAACCAATACTATTTTGTTGACTAGTTGATTAATTGATTAACAAGTTTTCAAAACTGGGTTTTTCCACATAGAAATATGCAACATAACCAATTTAATCATATCTTCACCAGACATGTACTAAGGTTTCTTAAAAATATGTAATTCAGCGTGGAAAAAACGACCAATAAGTCAAGAAATAGCTCCACTAAACAGGAAACGCATACAATCATAACAGGCATATTTGAATGCAAACTGGGACAAAGGAAATTTTAATTAAAAATAACAATTATAGAATTTATTTAAAACATAATATAATATTTTTTGATGAACAAGCATGTCATAAAACATCCAGATAAAATAAAGTAGGATTGTTTTATTTTAAGAAATGTATATCCTTAATATTAAGTTTGTCTAAACAGTATGTCTAGATATGGGTGTGTATCATTATAATCTATGACTGGACATTTGAGAAGTCATGTTATTTTGATTACATGACATCACAACTTGTGTTAACCCTTAGTTTTAATGACTTTCATTTGTTGTAGGAAGACCGGGGGCGAAACAGACCTGAGGAAGAGAATATGTTTATCTGTGTCCAAGTATAATTTACATTACCTTTTTATCTCAGCAGCACATACAGCAACAGTACGGCAGCTTTCAGTAGCAGCTCCAACAGCGATGCAGCGATCTTTGATGTAACATCCGGTGTTTCCATGGCAACGATAAACATGTCGCGGAAAAAGAAGATATATCTCGTTACAAAAACTTTAAAATTAAAAGATTTTTTCTGGCTTTCATAACAGTTGAAAATATTTGAGGTAATGCTAGATATTTTGGTTTAAAATTTTTAAATATTATACAGCTAAAAAAAAGAAGGTATAACACACACACACACAATTTGCTACGATTAGCTGGAAGTGCATTTCTTTTATTTAGCCCACCGTGTCATAACTCTAGGAATCTTTCTCAGTTAAATTGAAGCAGTTAACTGATCTCTGATATGAAGTATACACCATAATCAAAATCACAAATACAGGCAGCTCCGCTTGTTGTCACAAAGCTGTGAGTAACAAATAAGACATGTCTGCAGTCTCATCTGAAGTCAGAATAGTTATGTTCCAGATGTGGAAATGGGACCATCGGAGAAGTACGCATATGCAGATCACAACCTGTTTCAAACGCCAGGACACGACCAAACAGGTGAGTCGACCTGTGTGTGTGTGTGTGTGTGTGTGTGTGTGTGTGTGTGTACAATCAGCATGAACTGGAAACACCTCAGGGATTATAAAACATGCAGACCACAATTTTTCCATTTTTTATTTTGGATATATATGTATAATAAGATGGACCAATATATAACAAGGATCACTTTTAAACATTTTATTTAGCAAAAATAGAAAAAGCAAAATCTCAGGTCACAACTGAGAACATCAACGCCGACCTGATTCATGAACAAAAACAAACGGAACACAACCTGTAAAACAGTAAAAAAGGACAAAAACTTTAAGTTTGCCTGCGATTGTGGTAATTAAACAATAATTATCTGTATCAAAAGCAGGTATTGATAGTGTTTGATTTTTACCGCACTACTGAGAGGAAGCTGGCTCGTAATTCAGTTTATTAATGTATCAAACGCGAGTGAAAGAAAATGCAGAAGTATTGAGCCACATTTAGTTGATTACAAATGTCTCTGTGAAACTGACCTCTGACACAACAGCTGAAGAACTAACGAGTCGTCTCAGAGCTGTTTGAAAGAACATCTACTTTTCTAATATAATCGTGTGATTTGATCTGAAAGGAGATCAAAAGAATCCTAAAACGAGGATGTGAGCCTTCAGTGTTTTATTTAGTCATCCTTAAGACGTCTTACAAACACGCAGATGTATGGCAGTCCTAAGCGGACATACATGCATAGATTTAATTTACTCCATCTCTC